TCAGCCAGAGCTCACTGACGGTGCAGGACACCAGCAGCCCTGGCGGACACCAGCAGTGCAGTAGTAAGGCTCTCGAATGTCCCCCCAGGCCCATGTGTTACAGGCTGGTCCCCAGCTTGGCACTACTGGGTGTGGTAGACACACGGGGCCTGGCAGAAGGCTTTAGGTAACTGAGGTCTCTGCGCTGGACACTGTGCCCACACTGCAGAAGAGAAGCAGAGGCGCCCACCCCTCCTTCTCCCTTCTCTGTTTTGCTTCACTCGGCTTCTGGGCCACCAGGAGGCAAGCAGCTGCTCCACCACCAAGCGCTGCCTCACCTCAGGCCCAGGCGGGAGCAGGCAGTGCCGACATGCTGGGCAGAGGATGGTGGGAGCCTTGGGCGGACGGAGCAGGATCTCCTGAGATCACATCCTGTTACTCAGAGCAGGCATCGGCTTAAGAGGAATTGTTTATTCCTGGGATTTTCCACTTAATAATTTTGGAATAAAGTTTACAGGCATCTGAAACCACAGAAATGAAAACCACAGATAAGGAAGGACTAGTGCATGGCACTCAAGTTTCACATTAAGTCCTCGACACAGGAATCGAGGAGTGGGGGTGGGGGGGCTGCCATCAAGAGAGGATCACACTCCAGAGGGTTCGACAATGAAGGTGATTTTCTCATAGTTTGGAGGCAAGACATCCGGGATCAGCAGGTCAGAGACTTCAATCACGGGAGGCCTACCTTCCTGCCTACAGGTGGTCACCTTCTTGTTGGGAGCTGCTCTGGAAATACATGCCCATTAGTCCCAAGCAAGAGATACTGAACAATCATTGCACCCCACAATAACTCGGGCTTTACTTCCACTTGGATGATGAGGTGTGGCTCCAGGAGTAGGCGTCCCCTGGTGGGGTTGAGTTACACTCACCTGTCCCTTTGTAATCCTACCCAGTGCCCATTTTTAGATAGAATGTTCTAAGAAACAGCATCCCCCAATAAAAGCAAACTTCTATTAAAAGAAAAAAAAAAAAAACTCCAGAATGTGCACCCCTCCCCCTCTCTCGTCAGCCTCTTATGACTTTCTCTTGTCCCCCTTGTGGAAGCCTAAGGCCAGGGGCCGGGGAAGCCATCCTCCAGCTCATATAAAAAAGTATTCAGTGTCCGTGTGGTATTTTGCATCACCCCAAATTCATACAAGTGACTTTGGTTCCATTGCCTGCGCTGGACAGGGGGCAGCAGATGGGCGTCCAACGTGGTGCATTTGTTGTGAATTTGGCGAGTTCACTCTGGTTGAGCACACTTCAAAAATTCAGAGGAACGTTGGACTGTGTTGTGAGAGGAAAACAGGTTGCAGACAGAGAGGAAGGGATGCTAATCAGTAACATGGGGAGTTCATCGTCTTCATGATCCTGGTGATGTTAACTAATCGTAGGAGAAAACAGATCAAGAGAACCCAGCTCACTCAATTCCTAAAAATAGTCAACGGTGTCTGTCTGTGGTTTTGGGAGGAAGAATTGCCTAATTTGCATGCCTGGGAGAGGGTAGGTAGAAAGCTGGTTAAAGGTTGCCTCTCCACTAAACTACCTAGAAGTACGATAGAGAATATTCAGAAAGTCTAGACTGCCTTAGGAATGTGTCAATTCCCAGACGGAGAAGAGGACCACTGGTCCCCCAGGGAATGGTTGGAAGGGCTGCAGAATACAATTAGGACCTTTGAACATGGCAAGCAGCCTTGTGTCCCAAGATGAATTCGTCTGTCTGTGCCTGGACTAAGGGCAGAGTCAAGCCACGCCAGTCTGTAGCTCCTAAACCTCAAGACCCAAGACTATTCAAATTACAGCAGATCAGGGCCACCCAGTCCGATGGAGAAACGATGAACCTAGCCTAATTCCTTCTTAAGATTGGGAGCCATCCCATCACAAAGTCATGAAATTTGTTTTACTATAAATTACTGTGATTTCTAAACTTGTTTGGAATGCCTGCCCACACCTTGAACTCACCCACGCCTGGTTTTCCCGGACCAGATAACAACCCTCTCTGAAATCCTAATGGTGCCTCATAGTTGGGAACCAAATTTACTCCCTAAGTGCTGAACCATTTAGACCATTAACCTACTACCTGCCTTTGTATGATGCTTGTCAAAATCCTGTTATCTGTACGTTCTCAAGACACCCCCCTCTTGCAACTTTTTGTGCTATAGAGCTGCGCTCCTGGAGAGCTGGAGTACTGTTCTCTAACCCAAGGATTTGGGAGAGACAGTCCCGGCTGGTTGGGATTACAGGCTTGCTTTAATTTGATTTAAAATTGGAGTCAGTGGTCTTTCCTTTGCATTGTGGCTTAACAGAAAGTGAGCTGGAAATGAGTTTTAGAAATTATGGAGATCAAACTGGATGGATTTTTGCAATGAACAAGCCAAAGGAAATCTCAGACATGGTATTGATAGCCCCGTAAAGATGCTAACTGGAATGGGATTCAGAACAACAGTTAAATTATGATTTGCCAACTTATGATCAGCTGGTACATATGCTAGGAGAGCCTGGAGAGAAATACCAAATAAAGGTGAAAAAAAATGAGATTTCAGTCAGATCCGGCAGGGACCAGAGGAGAAATTCTCCATTCTGTGGCACACCTTTACCAGAGAGCTAGTAGGACCACTGGTGACTCAAATGCACTGAAGGTTTGGGTCAAACAATCAGCTTTTGAAAATGCCAATAAAGTCTGCCATCGGAAAAAAAGAAACTGTTTCTGAATTTATTCACCTTCGTTCTGACGTGGGTCCCATGCAATAACAAGTTTTGACTCTCGCTGTGGCTTTAAAGCAGGTTTTACGGATCCAGTCTAGGAGACGCCATTCTCAGGGGCAATGTTTTAATGTGGTAAGGCTGGGCACCTGGCTAGGGACTGTGGGTCGCCACACAGCCGGGGAGATCACCTGGTTCACGCTGATGCTGTTGGAGAGGTGACCACGTGGCATGGGGAGGCTCTGGAAGGCACAGCAGAAGTGGCCAGCCACTGTTTGTGGCTTCACTACCATCACCACTGTCACCACCAGGCCTGCCTCAGCCCCGCCAAACAGTGGGGGCCTTGCAGTTTACACTGGTACAGGAGCTGCAGGCTCGCAGTCAGAAGGCATCAAGACTAGCCCAGCCGGCCCAGCTTTACTATCCTTCTGGGTGTTTCCGCCCCAGGGGTTGGAGAGCTTGGGACTGCGACCAGCCATGGGACTAATTTTAACTCCTGAAATGGGCTCATGACAAATCCCTACAGAGATTCACGGGCCAATACCATGTGATGGGACGAAGCAATTGAACTCAAAGAGGAGCGCAGGTGTTGCCAGGTGTCATTGATCCAAATTTCGAAGGAGAGATCAGGGTTACAGTTCCAACGAACTGCATATTCAGCCTTCTCCAAGGGATGTGGTAGCACAATTCAGACTCACTCCTCAGCCCCTGGTGAAAACCCGAGTTCCAGGTCCCAGGACGGGGCGTACTGGGCTCCACTGGTTGGACAGGAGCGCCCTCTGTTGGATCTTAAAATCAACAATGAAAATTTCAGAGGTGTGCTCCCTACAGGAGCAGACAAGTCGGTTATTTCTAGCAGGTACTGACCAAAGAAGTGGCCTTTACACATTGCACCTGTCAGCTTAGAAGAATTGGCCAAATTTCTCAACCTTCTTAGTATCTTTGGTGGGAGGATAAAGACAGGAATTCTCGAGCCTTTAAGCCCTATGTCTGAGACACTATGCCAGTAAATTTATGGGGTTGAGATATTCTAAGCACCTTGGGTTTGTTATTAATAACTCCAAACTCCATTGTATCATCTCAGGGACTTAATCAAAAAAATTATTTCTCCTAGGAAATTTGGAGGGAATTCACGTGAAGGGTATTTACCTATAACCCAGTATCCCCAGTGAAGACTACTTAATTCATCCAGTCAAAATTTTTGTAGGAGCACTGACTTTCTTCCCAGCCCCAAAAATAGCAGAAAAGATCAACTGGCTTACAGAAGAGCCAATCTGGGTTTGTCAGTGGCCCTAAACATGGGAGAAACTTAAAACAGCCAATATGCTGGTCCAGGAACAACTTCAGGCTACAGTTGAAACCAATCAAACCTTCTTTTAGTCCATGGAATACAAAAAGTCTGGTAAATGGAGGTTGTTGCAAGATGTCAGGGCAATTAATTGTGTTATCGAGCCCATGGGAAGCTTCAACTATTGGGTACACACCACCACAAGAGTTATTCAATTTGTTTCATATTTTGCAGAAGACAATTCAAATGCATCAACATCCATGTTTTATAGGCCATATACGGGCCCACACTAGTCTCCCAGGGCCTTTACCATCAGGTAATGATAAGATGGATAAAGTGGTTGTTGTTTGTCAGCAAATGTCTTTGTATGACTGGGCACATGCTTCACATTCTTTACATCATCAAGATACACAAAATGCTCTTTTGGATCCTACCTCTTTAGCTGATCAAATACTTCAGGAGTAAAATGGCTCTAACCTTGGAAACATCCTGAAACATTCTGTGTGGTATATTATTGAACTGTTCTCTTTGCTATTAATCCTCTCTTGCATTGTAATCACAGGATGCTGTGCCTTCAGAGCAAGAATTCAGGAACTCGAGAGATAGCGACTCATCACCTACTTTTTCAAAGAAAGAAGGGGGAATATGTGGGAGCCACTCTGGAAATACACACTATTTAGTCCAGAACAAGGGGTGCTAAACAGTTACTGCACCCCGCAATAACTCCAGCTTTATCTCTGCTCGGATGGTGAGGCGTGGCTGCAGGAGTAGGCATCCCCTGGTGGGGTTGAGTTACACTCACTGGTTCCTCTGTAACACTACCTAGTGCGCTTTTTCGGATACAATGTTCTAAGAAACAGCATCCCCCAATAAAAGCCAGTTCCAGAACATGCACCCCCCCACCCCACCCCCGTCAGCCTCTCGTGACTTTCTCTTGCCCCCTCTGTGGGAGCCTGAGGCCAGGGGCCAGGGAAGCCGTCCTGAAACTCACATAAAAAGGTGCTCCGTGTCTGCGTGGTATTTTGCATCACCCCGAATTCACACGAGCGGCTTGGGTTCAGTTGACCTTGCTGGACGGGGATCAACACCTCCTCGATGACTTCATGTGGCCTTTCTTCTGTGGACACAGAGTGGAAGAAAAATCCCTGATGTCTCTTCCTCTTCTGATAAAGACATGAGTCCTGTTGGACCGGGGACCCAGCCTCACAGCCTCGTCTACCTTACCTCCAAGTAGTCAGGTGAGGGTTTAGGGCTTCTGTATATGAATTTGGGGAGGGAGGGGGCACAATGTTGTCGATGGTGGTGATTGTCTCATATCGCAGAAGAGAAAAATGAGGCCAGAATCCTTTGTTCAAGGTCTAAATAAAGCCTTTATACTTCTCACTCTTGCTTTCAGTAGAAAGAATCAAAACCCTCGAAATTCAAGCTTATAAAGCACTAGAAGAAAAGTGTGTGGAAGTCGTGGCTGTAAGAGATGAAGGAATGTGAGATGAAGCCAGCGGCCTGTCTAAAGGCCAGTCCTGAGCCCGGGGCTGGAAGAGCCCAGGCATGTCCTCCAGATGCCCCCCGAGCCCCTGCGGTGTCCACGGCTGGCCCACTACCACCTCCTGTTGCTCTGGGTTCTGAGTTCAGGTCCCGACTCTCACAGATTTCACGTGTGCTGGCAGAGACTTCCTTCCTGACCAACTTGAGTCAGGCTCCTTTGACCTTCTTCTAACTAGGCCTCACCCTGGGTCTCTGAGCCCAGTTTTGGCAATGAATCCTGCAGGCTCAGCCCATTTATTGAGAATTCCCAGCCACAAGACCCAGTCAAGGCCCTCTTCCTCCACACCTGATACCTAAGCACTTTCCTCTTGGTAATTTTCCATCGGCCCCCTCACCCTGGCCACGGGCTGTGGGATCCTGCTCATTCCGGTTATGCTCAGGTTGAGTTTAACCTCTTACCCGGTGCAATACTCTTGGCCTCACTCGACTGTCCTGAACAAAGTCCTTCTTGCTGTTTTTAACGGGTGTCAAATCATTTTTTTTTCTTTACCGGTTAATTGGGAACAGGAGTACACCTCCCATCTCTCTTTAGGTATCTCCACAACAATTCTGCCATCAAGAGCACTTGGCAGGTGGCTTAACTGTCAAGGGGCAAGTTCGAGGGTGGAGCTAGGCGAGCTGGAGTCCTGTGGACAGCTGCAGAGAGACAAGCCAAAAGCACCTGGAGGCCCCAGAACAGCTGCTTCCCAACCTTCTGTGTTAGGAACAGCAGGGAACTGAGGCTCCTAAAGGAGGGCCGAACTCCGCGGGAGTCGCGCTCACTCTGTGGCTTTGGGCTGCTCCAGGGGCCAAGAGCACCAATCTTGGTAGTCCAGAGGGCCCTGGGTTCCGGGGACAGCATGTGACAGAGGGACCAAAGCTGTCTGGTTGTTCCGGCCTGGCTTTGCTGCTCTTCACTGTGTGAGCCAGGCCTCTCTGAGCTCAGCCTTCCCCACGGGAAGGGGCGTAAGGACAAGCCCCTCACAGTGCGCCACCAGGACGCAGGGCGGAGTGTGCTCTTCCTTTGTAGCAGTGCTGGATACTCATTGAAAAGAATGCAAACGCTCTTTCTAGGTGGCCTTCAGGAGCTGGGTTGGTGCCTGTTTTGTCTGTCTTGCTTGGTCTGTGGTCTGAATGTTCATCTGTGGGTCTAGGACGTTCTGGGAGAAAAGGAAGGTCACTCTTCGACTGCAAGTACAGGGAGCCCCAGCAGCCCACTGGCCGGACAGGGGCAGGTCCTGGAAGAAGGTCAGGGACTAACCAGGCTGAGAGACTGGCCCTTTTGGGGGCTGATGAACTGTCCAAATCAATGTCCAAAAAGGTGTAGCCAACTGTAGCCTCCCCTAGGTCGGGCCTCATCTCTGAAGGCAGTGGTCTTCTGGTGAGGGTGGGGGGTGGCAGGGTAGGTCTGGGCAGATGTAGGCCTGCACTGGGGGGGGTGCTCAGCAGGGGGGCTCCGGGGTCTGCTCAATTGTTGCAGGGACCTGGCCTACAGTAGATGCATCCAAATTCCAAGAGAACGGGTCCTGGGGCTGGTCTGAATAGGCAAGGCAGGCTGCTCATGAGGCCCAGCCCCAGGGGCAGGGAACTGAAGCCCTCTTCCTGGAACACAGAGGAGCCCTACAGGGGATCTAGGGAGAGACTGGGAGGGCAAGGGGCAGGAGGGGGCTGCCAAAGAGGTGACTGGGGTGGGGAGGCAGCATGGAGACCCTCCCTGCAGTGCCCAAAGCTCTCCTGGCCTAGTAGCCCATCATATCCAAAACTTCATTAAGGACATGACAAAGGGTTATCCCTGGTGGAAGGAAGTATCCTTGGCACCCACTTTCCAAATCATTTTTTAATCATTGCAACCTGAGATTACATTATTCCCTCTAGTTTTTAAATAGGACATGTATTTCCCCGGGGGCAGCATTTCCAAATTATGTCCATGAATGCTAGTAACAATACTGAGAGATAAGGGGTAGCCAATTTTAAAATGTTTCTCTAACCGGATATGTTTGAGAAGTAATGCAGAGGAGTAGCAGTACATTCATGAGCACAGAGAGAAATCCCACTAATCAATTTCCTAGTTCCACTCACTCCCTGAATTTCAAAAGAACATATATTTGCTGTAAAGTTTAAATTATTTGCAATGAGATGTATTGCCCCTTTGTGCATGCATGCGTTCGTGCGTGAGTGTTACCAGGGATTGAACACAGGGGCCCTCTACCTTTGAGCTACATTCTGGTCCTTTTTATCTTGAGACAGGATCTTGCTGTGTTGCCCAGGCTGAGCTGGAACTTAGGGTCCTCCTGCCTCATCCTCCTGAGTAGCTGGGACTACAGGTGTGCACCATTGTGTGGTGTTTTGTTGCTTTTTAAACTAGGGTGCAGGGGACACATTTTAAGAAAATGTTAGAGACTTTGCTTGGTCAGGCTGAGCTCCCTGGCACCCCTGAGTTAGGCACCCTCTTCTGAGCTCACAGAGCACCTGCTCCCCACCTGCTCTGCAGAATGCACCCCCAAGATGAGTAATTCTCCAAGAGTTTGTTTGCTGCCTTCCTGGACATCCAGCTACTGACCCTCAGGGGCCCTGATTCTTCATCTAGGTACCCCCTTCCCGACCCCTCCAGTAGTGGGCGGGTAGCACAGCTATTGTTACCAGGCTGCTCCCTGCCACCGATGAATCTATGCCTGCATCTGGACACTTCCTCGGCTTGCAGGGAGGAGTGGGGGGCTAGATGATGCCCCCCACACAGGATGGGCACTCCCACAGTGCACGTCCTAAGGCTCAGAGCAGCATTCTTATTAATCCCCAGAAACCCGGGGTCAGGGGCCTTTGGGGTGACATCTGGTATGTAAACGCCCAAGGTAAGTTCCTGCTGACTGGTAGCAACAGTGCCCCGTGCGAGCTGTGAAAGTTCCCCGGCAGGAGGTCTCTTCCGTTAGTCATCTCAATGCACACAGCTGAAAGGAACATGGCAGAGTTAGATTTGGCGGGGGTGAGTGGGGAGCACATCTTCACTTGTAGGTGTCTTAAACCTTTCACTCTTAAAAAAAGTGAGGAGGCCCGGGCAAGTGGTCCCTGCTCCAGGTCCTCACTTGCAAACAGAGATCCTAACCCACCCTGATGCGGTGGGTAGGGAGGCCTGAGCAGACGGCCGGGCAGCCCTCGAAGGTTAGCATGGTTTGAGCTACAGAGGAGGGAAACTGAGAGGTCAGAGGAGGGGGGGGAGGCTGGGGGACAGGTATGGAAGGTTCCTGCCCCGCATGTCCCTGCAGGGCTTGGAAAGAACCACTGAGACAGAAGACAGGACAAAAGGAAGGAGCCCTTCTTAGGTCAGGAGACCCAAACTAGACTCCAGTTACGTCCCTACAACAATGAACTTACAGATTTGTTACATTTTTTTTTTAATGGGGGGTTTTACTAGAATCCCAGACTCTACTGATAACTTTACCCCAGACACTCCCTGATTTCCACCTCTGCGTATTCGTGTGGAAGAAGAGAAGCCAAGATCCCACTGCTATTGGGTTCACGTGCTCACCTTCAGCATCTCTGAACCCACCTCCCGCACCCAAGGTTTAACCTTGTGATACAGCTATCCATTTAACACCTGCTGACTCAGTGAGCCACATGCAACAGGATGTGAGCAAAAGCTTTCTTTGTCCCCTTTTTCTTGGTTCCTTCAGCCCACTGTCTGGTTTGCCCTCTCCTGGCTTGGGATCAAAGCTGGGCAACCACAGACTCTGCTGACCTCACGTGGCCATTAAAGGAAGAAGCCCTTTGTCTTGGCCTTTAAGGGAACTGTCATGGCAAGGCTCTGGACTCTGCCCAGCCCAAAGCCTCTCCTGCACTTCTTTGCTTCAGGCTGGAGACCTGCAGCACCCAGGAGTGGAAAGGGCTTCCCCATTTTCCCTGCTCCACCTCTCTTAGCCAGCTGCAAAGGACACAGTCCCTGGTAGACACATCTTGGTGCCTTCAGTTCAACGAAACCCCTGGGGTGGCTCTTGGGTCCATCAGTTAGAGTACATGACCACCAGGGGGCAGTAGAAGCCTTTCTTCCCTCACGGGAAGCCCCACCATCAGGTTTAACATGGCGGCCTGGTTTCTTCAAGATACACTTAAATGTTTTCTTTTCAGTTTTAGTTATATTGTCTATAACTAAGACAATATAAATATCTAAAACAAAAGCACAAGTTAAAAATCATTTAGATACAATACCCCAGGGAACAAACTCTTAAAAGAAAATATAAGTAATTAATTATAATATATAGTGATCATTATCACTGCTTAATTATCTTACTCCCAGACTTTGATTATGACTCATCTCTCCTTAGTTTAAAGTCAGAACTATCCCCCAAGCTCCCATAAGGCAAAATGACATTTAGAGACATTTATTAACTATTATACTAAAAAAGGTCCTTTTTAAAATTTTTTAATTCTAATTTGTTATATATGACAGCACAATGCATTGCAAATCATATTGCAAATATAGAGCACAATTTTTCATATCTCTGCTGTACACATATTCACACCATTTGTGTCTTCTTCATACATGTCCATCTCATTCCACCAACTTTTTTTTTACCCTCTTACCCCCACGTCCATTGGTTT